CCACACAGCGACGTTGAAACGGAAATGCTTGCGGCAGCTTTGCGTTTGCTACGTTACATTTTTAATTGCATGATGTGCAATAAACTTTCTAAAACGACTAATACTGCTTACAACTAATCAACAGAAATAATTGGTCACTCGTTTAATATTTTATACATTATGCACGTCGTCATGACATTTTGTAAGTGTTGCATTAAAAAAAAAGCACCGTGTACGATATAATATTAAATTTATATTAGAAAATGGGTAAGTGTTAATATATTCGGGTGTAAATTTTAGAAATCGTTTTTTTAGTACCTTTTGTAAATCAATTTCATCAATTATTCAATATTTAATTTATTTTTACGATCGCCCATATTTGCTTTACGTTTTCTATCTTCAATTAATAACTAATCTATGACTATCGTTCGTGTATTGTGTGTTTTTGCTGTAGAGTGACTTTTTTTCTTAGAAAGTTAAAAACTTCTAAACAGTTAAAATAATTTTGTACGTCGTTTTTTAATATAGTAAATTGAAAAGTTTAAAATTAACTCCAGCCATTTATTTATTTTTCCACAAAAAAATTTTTCTTTAGCTGGTTTTTTTTCAGTCTTTTGATAAACTTACAAAATCCTCTTTTTAATTTAATGTAATGCGTACTTCTATTTTATAAAATTATTTTTTCTGTCGTATAACCTTCTCATAAAAAAAATTAATTTCACGTAAGAAATAAATAAAAAGTATTTGTTCCAATCGTTAAATTAAAAAAAACTTATGCATGATTAAGGCAAAAAAAATATGTATATATTTTTTTCGAGTAAAGAAATTTTTTTTGAGTGGATTAATCTACCCGTCAGTGTTTTGCATAAGGCATCGATGCCGCAAACATATCTGATGGCAGCATATAGACTATGGCTTTCAAAAAAGACGTCAATAGTGGTACTAGAAAGATCTAGCACATCACCCCATTGAATAAATATGCAGATTTCGTACTGCACGTGATGTTTAATACATGCACTACTGTCTGTACATATAAAAATTAACTTTACATATATGCATAACAGCAGCTTCAGCATGTAACCCTTAGAGAATGCAAATTTTATTTTTTTTTTTTTTTTTACCACTAAACTCACAGTATGCATGGCTAATAATACTAATTAGATAATATACTTGATTCATAATACTAATAAAAACAAATGCACGCATCCACTTGGGATTGAAAAAAAAAAAAAAAAAAAAAAAAAAAACGAACGAACGAACAAATGAAAATCCCAGGAAGTTGCGAGTGGTTACCTGCTGGGTGATGAGGGCTTTCTTCGTCTGCGGAGGCTTTCACTATCTGAGGGTGAAGGGTCGCCAAGCTAGCTTCAAGGAGGCACCCATACTGGCACTCGCGCCACACTCAACTTTCTTCGATGCTCTTCCTGTTACTTATCTCGGCGGTCCGAGTATCGTCGCCAAGGCGGAGACCAGTCAGCTTCCGTTCTTTGGGAGTAATACATAAACATACAAAAATATTTAATTTATTTTTTTATTTTACCAACCAATTAAAATTTTCTTTTACAGGCGATTTTTCTAACGATATTCCTGTTGCCAGTCAGACTCATGGCAATCACGGCCCTTGTGATAATGGCATGGCTTCTGGCATGCGTAGGACTTCACGGACTGTCGGAAGAGGATTTGAGAAAGGCACCCCTTAAAGGCTGGAGGCGGTAAGTCTCGCTTTTTAGGCATGACCGCCCCGAAGGAATGACTCGTATTTTTACCAGAGAAAAAAATGTAATCATACTTGAGTCGCGTATTTTTTTTGTACAAAAATAATTTTTAGCGCAACTTGAGATTATTTCACATTAGGTGTGTGTAATCGGCTGTACGTTTAGTAGGTGATCAAAATTTTAAATAACTCAAGTAATTTTCATTTGATTAAAGTCAATTTTATTGTGCTTGTAACTTCATTGTCGTACTAAATGACAAAGGGCATTTGAGAAGGTTTTGTCAAAAGAAACATTTTTAAATATATTTTTACAACTGAAGAAAAAAATGCACAGTTTGCCCCTTAAAACGTTTTCGATTTTGTTGTGACACAATTTTTTGCATTTAATAAAAAGCTCTTATCCGTAGCAGTAAAAACTTTTGTTTTTTCAACCAAGCACTACTTAGAAAAAATAAAAAAATATTACATTACATACCTATTTTACTTTAGGTTGGATTACAATTTGNTACTATCATTCGGTGTAATAATCATGTAAAGTTGCGCAGGTAGTTAGAGCATAAAACATTGGAAAAAACCTTTCTAAAAAAAAAAAAAAAATTTTTTCTTTTTCTGTAACGTTCAGTCTCCATAAACAGTAACAATATGTACATAAATGGTGAATGGGATAGTAAAATATATGATTGTACATAGTCTAACAGTAATTAAAATGCTCATTATTAATTCATCGAATCTCACACTGATACAAAATAACAAACTAACACAGTAACATGCTTTTCTTAACATGAAGGGATAGTGGATTTATTTTATTAACAAATTGTACCATAAATTGCGTCTTAATGATATTCTAAAAAGGTTTGTATGTATATACCATGAAAATACTCAGAGGGATACCCACAATAGTTTAACATGTACTTGCACAATCGAGGATGGAAAATATTTTTTTTTTCTTTTTTCTCGTGTACATACACGTTTTTGCGATAAGTACTTGCATTGAGGAAAAATACAACATTGGACTATGTCGACACGCATTGTTAAACACACATGGATTATTGTCAACGAATTATTTTCGAAACAATGGTCCATGTAATTATGGTCGTAAAAAAAAAAAAAAAATTCCGCGGTATTTTTTCTCAATGCAAGAGCGAAGAAAGAAATAAAATAAAAGAAAAGAAACTACCAATCGTTATAAGAACGGGGTTGTTTCCGATCATGAATATGAAAACGTACGTGGCAACTGCAACAACAGACAAGTGGTGCCGTGGCTTTGCCTACTGGGTCGCTGGACGTACCAGGCGGGCGGTATGAGGCTAATCGTGCGAGGAAGACAAGCTACGCGGGCGGAAGCTCCTGTTCTCGTGGTGGCGCCCCACTCGAGTTTCCTCGACGGTGGCATCGTCTACAACACGGGGTTCCCCTCCATCATCGTCAGACGCGAGTCCGGTCTGAATCCCTTTATAGGAAGTATGTGGAGATCCCCTCCTTTTTTTGTTTATTCATTTGCATTAGAAAACAAACGGCAAACTCAAGAGGTCCTCTCTCTTGTTGAACCTATGGTATACTTACCCATCAGAATGGTTCAAACTTTCCCGGTTTTTTAATTTTAATCAAAAAACCTATACCTGAAATGTAGCATCTAGACCTCGCTTCTGAATAGATTTTTTTTTTTTTGTTGTAGAATTAGTTTTTAAGGTTTCCACCTCCACTTTTGTATCTTGAAATTTTTTTTTATATCTTGAGAAATTACGATCTAGACTAAGGCTTTCACACATTATCGCGTGTGATAAAATTTAAAGGTAATAATAAGCAAATTCTACAGTGTGTAAGATGAGTGGTAGCTAGTATATTGTATTAAGGAAATTTTTTTTTTTTTTTTTTATTGAGAGAAATTATAAGAAGAATAGACGATTTTCAACTTCATTTTTAAGAAAAAAAAAAAAAAAAATCGTTTGTTAACTTTGTTACTCAACAACATACTTGTACTTGCTGTGTTAAATAGTGCAGTTTGAGGCTTCATATTTGTAGAACGGCTCGATCGACCCAAGGTAAAATTTTATCCTCTGCGATATGGCAATGGCATAAAGTGATGTGGATACTATACGAGTGTACTTTGTATGATGCTTTATTTAAGTGTAAAAAAGACGATACAACAGTAATTTTTTAATTTTAAGCCAAGCATATACAATTGAGCTATAATTTTCTTCACGATAAACTAGCTCTTTAAACTCAGTGCACCGCAATAACTCAAAGAAAAATTGAATTTTTGTAAAACTACATAAATAAATACACGTAACTTTGGTATAGGAGGTATGCCATCACACGTCAATTCTGAAAAAGTCGTCACTTTTGTATTAAAGTCACAGATAAGAATAAAATTGAGTATAAAAGAGAGCGTCCATGCTGTAGCCACGTTTGACGCAGATAGAGTCGATTTATTTAGTCCGCGAAATCTACATGTAAATTTTAGCTCTTAACTAACTCCTGAAATTCACTCCTACAATTTTTTTAGTCAAGAAGATTCTGCTTTAGAAAAAGCTCATTTTACCCAACCATTAATATAATTCCTCAATCGAGAATAAATTTCAAGACATCAAAGAGGAGATTAGCACTTTTAAAACTTATTCTACAACCACCGAAAAAGTTACTGGCATTTCAGCTCAAGAGCTATATTTCAGGCTGATTACTTCATGGAGATGAAAAAAATTTCAAACCTTTTTTTTTACAAAACTATGTGGAAGAATGAAAACACACTACACTGGTTTTCCTTTTATTATGAAACAAAATTTTTACTCTCATCTTTTTTGGGCATCAGTTCATAGGTGTCACGTGCATTCTTACAAGATGTATCTACAAGAGATTTTATGCCATTGTTACGATTCTCGAAAAAATATTTTATTATTCCATTCACTGCACGGATGTGGGCGTGAAAAAAAAAACAGAAGCGTCAAAACAAAAAAATTGCGTAACGAGGAAAAAAAAAAAACATGTGAGTAATTTTTGTAATTTACAAACCCAACAGAACTGATAAACTACACGCAGCCAGTGTACGTATGGCGGGACGACCCAAACTCCCGGCAAAACACCGTCAAGGAGATAATCGAACGCGCCACTTCCAAGGAGGACTGGCCTCAGGTACACTACCCGTACATTAATTATAATCATCGAGGGACGAAATGCATGCATTTTCAATAATTTTTACTGGCATATATTTTACACCACAATTATAATTATAATATCATTGACGACGCACCTGCCAGGTGATGATATTCCCGGAGGGCACTTGCACGAATCGTTCGTGCCTGATCACCTTCAAGTCCGGAGCCTTTTATCCGGGCGTGCCTGTACAGCCTGTGTGCATCAGGTATCCCAATAAACTTGACACCGTCACCTGGACCTGGGAAGGACCTGGAGCGTAAGATTTTTCTGTACCATTTGTTTGGGAAAGTTTGGCTTTTCTAATTTTTTTTTTTTTTTTTTTTTTTTAACGTCATTG